ACCTGCCGCCACAATCAAGGTTGATGGCGACCCTTGAGCACTCATTTTGAGGGCCTGTCATCCGTACGTGATTAGGAGAGAAGAGGCGGAGAAGAAGAGAAGGGTTGAAGGAAAGGTGGAAAGAGGAAAGGAAGAGAGGAAGAAACTAGAGGAAGGAAAGACCTAAGGACCAAAACACCACAGCAACCCGCACCACAGCGCGGGACACAGCATTTCAAGCACAATCGCTAACCGCCTACACATATGCATTGTACACATACTGCATGTCTGCCACACTCTCAAAGCAGCCGGTAATGTGATGCCAACTGCCCTGCCCCGCACCCAAAAGGACCGGTGCGGGCATCCACCCATCGTCTGACCCTCCCAACTGCCGCACCGCATGCTGTATAATACTCTGAGCCTGCGCTCGCTCCAGTGCCTCGGAAAGTCGTGTAGTGAGCCCGATCTCGAAAATCCGTGCTGACCTGTCGCTCCCCCCCACCAAAGTCTTAACGCCGCTGTGCAATCCGCCGCGCACAAAACCTTTAAAGCTACCTGATTGGCTCGCTGAGCAACCCAATTGTCTCCACTACACATGCATAAAAATGTGGTGGCAGTTGTAATCCCTCCATATGCGGTGCCCAATCCCGCAACTTGTCCTGTACTCGTCTAGCTGCTGCAACATCCTTCTGCACTGGGGCCACTCGTCTAAGCCCGGTATTCCCCTGCTGCTGTAGATTTGTAATGGAGACGTCTACCAACACCATTCAAGTTTTTTCTATATCGCGGCAATTCAGGTCCGGAATGCGGGCTGGTGTCCCTCTGCGGCCTGTGTGTCCAGCCTGCGTTTGTTGCTGTGCTGGCTGCTGCTGTGCCTGGTCCCTCTGTGCCTCCTTCCTTGTCGGCTCTGCCCCTCTATCCTCTCCCCCACTCACCTGCCTCCTCCCATCTCCTCTCCCCAAACCCAACCCCCCCCGCACCCTCGCCCTATCCCCTCCCCTCCATACCCTGCCCTTGCTGGCCATCCCGCTGCTGCCCCTGCTGTCCCCTCTCCTCAACCCCACTCGCCGGCCTCCCCTGCCCCTGCTGAACCTCCTGTTGTTGGCTGTGCTGTCCTCTCTCCTCTCCCCCACCAACCTGCCCCTCCTGCCTTACTGTTGCTGTTGTTGCTGCTTCTGCTGCTGCTTTATAGTGTCGTCTACTTACCATCGGCGATAACCCCCTCTGGTCCTATGATGCCCATATGGTCATTTCATTTGTCAGTCTATATCAAATGATGCAGATCTTCATATCCAAAACGGGTCCAAACTTACAACTTTCAAGTAGAACTGGGGACGACCACAGGAGATATACTGTATGAATACTAACATCCACCAACTATCCATATGCAAAACATGACGCAGTCTTGAACCTGGAATTTGCATATAGAATATGTGTGTGGAATTCTGTAGGCCAAGTGATAGACTTTTATCCGAAGTGTGCGTTGAATGCTCTAATATCGAATTGACAAGAACAGATCCTCTCACCAAGCTGTGAAAACAACAACTGGAATAATTTCATCGAGTTGGTTAGATTGGATGTGATCGTGGTCGTTATTTCTGTTCAGACCGTAACCACACTTGGTTTCTGTCTTCTCGGACCAAAACAAACGAGATAATAAATTTCACTGTGAGAAGGGAGATTTGGATCCTTTGTATCCATTAACTTGGCGCTTTGTTGTCCGGTCTGTCTCAATAATGAACACATAGCTTCCCACTGAAGTTGGTATCTCCAAGAAATGTGGTAATCTAGGATGTCGAAATACGTTTTGAAGTAGCGAAATTGCCCATTTCCATTGCCAAACTTTGGTGGAGGAGCATTCAGACAATGCGGAAAAAGAAGATGATTGCGAACAATCACTTTGCTAGATTCGATGAGAACTGTAGACGTAACATGGATACGGCTTGACAGCGATCCCATCTTGAGTGCATTGGCTTGTTCGCTCTCCGCCTCCACGAGTTTTATGGCTTCGGCAGGACAAATGATCGCGAAATCTGAACATTCAAGGTTCGTACCAAATCACGACCAGACGAATTCGTCGCGATGCCAGCTTCCATATGTGTTGTTCTCGTCTTATCCCTCCGCCGCCGCTCCTCCTCGTCCTCATCCACAAGTTCTCCCACCGCGGTCCGCGTACTCGTTACTGCCCCCCTCTCCCGCACTCACTTCCCGCAAACTTCCACCAACCCTCTCAGCGGTGAAAGCCGCTCTTCCCCCTAACTTCCCTCTTTCCCCCCTCCTATGTTCCCTACTTTCCCCTCACCCCTCCTCGCCTTGCCTGACCTCGCCTCCCCTCACCTCGTCGCACCTCAGGGGTGTCCAGCTCGTACATTTACTGTTTGTCAGCCCGCTCAGTTACCACATTTTTTGTTGTAACACTGTATTGAACATGTCCTGCGGACACAATCAGCTTTCGTTCACAAAACGGCACGCCCCCTGCACGTACCTCGAGTCGTCTGACTCACGTTACTGGAATCAGCGGGCACACGAACAAGGGTACAGCACCGCGTCATGGCCACTACAGTAGTGCCCCATGTACAATTTCGCCAGTAGCTCGCTATACTCGCCAACACCCCCCCCGCCTGCACAAAATTCGTTAGCTATGATTGACGAGGGAAACCGTTACCTCGTTTCGAACCCGAACAGAGCACTGTTGATTCGTGTGGCGGAGAACGAGTCAGCGCTCCTGAAATTACAGGTAGGTGGGACTCAACTCACAATGCATTCGTTTATTGGTACAGTGAAAAAAATTGAGCCTCGAGACGTGTGTTGGCACTAAAAACCCCGAAATGAACGAGCTGGACACGCCCTCATTTTCCCTCAACTTGCCTCGCCCCGCCTCCCCGCACACATCTCGCCTCTCCACCACCACCGCACATTTCTCCTTCCCCAACGACATCCCATGGCTGGGAGCCCCTGTCGCTTCAGCTACCAGTGCTGAACGGATTGTGCTGCTGTGTGTTCAACTCACAATAAAGGGTCTTCCATTTCCTTCATCTCCATCAGCCGTTTTCTACTTCAGCCCACATCATCGAAATCCAGCTGGAAGCTGTATTCACTCTCCAGCCTAGCACCTTCATCGGGACTGAGATCATTCCGTTTACGCACTATCATCGCGTCATCTGCTGCTACTGATTTATTATTCGACGAAATGGCTTCTACACGCGATTCTTCCCACGATATCAGACCGAGAACTGTCGATCTGCCGGCAGCAACGCCATCCAACCTTGGCGACCATCATGCGACAGAGCGGCTGCGAGCCGTTTCCGCCTGTGCGACATCCTCGTCGACCCCATCGTCGCCGGCGTCGCGTCCAATCACAGCCGTCCACACCACCTCGTTGCACATCCCGCGCTGCGCATCGGCTGATCCGGTCTTCTGCAGAGATGCCAGCGGCTCCATTTCTTACCGCACGGCGGAAAACGGCAGCCCCGCGGATTTGAACTGGCGCGCGAGGAGCGATCGGCGACTCGAGATGTGGAACCGCGCGACCCGATCTACAACCGCGACCACCACCACTAGAACCCCCGCTTCTGGAACTCCCGTTAACAACACTATTCCCCGCAACTCTTCAAGAATCGAATCTGTCGGCACGCATTGCTGCTCGCATTGCTCTACTCGGTGCCGCGTCGTTGCGTCAACCAACCGTTGCTCGACCTCGAGTGTCGATTCCGTGTTCGAATGGGCCGTTCGGGAGCGGATTGCGTTGCGCGCGAGTCGTGCTGCGGCAGTCTCGTGTGTGAAGGCTGCTTCATGAAACCCTTTCAAGGTTTAAGGTTTCAGCTTGGGACTTACCTCAGATTCTAACTGCTATAACGCCATATCAGTTACATACAAGAAGCGCTGCGATATTGCGCAGAGCCTCGGCGAGCAAGGATCCACCGGAGAGCGCCGCCATATTGGCGGTTGTCACGACTCCATTTTTGACAAATAAAATTGTTACGTTATTTGGTGCGTTGAGGAGGATGCGGCTTCTGGGCCTTGGGAGATACATCGAGCGAGCTCCTCCCCAAGAAGCTGCTCCTCTGTTTTGGTATTTGTGAAATAAGTGTATTAAAATGCTAAGATTATGTACATACAATGAAACGATGTTGACTTGACTAGCACCATAAGTGTCAGAATGGACAGAACGTGCACTGATTAGCACGGCTAGACCGCTGAAAGAGCTTTCTGAAGAAAGATGTTGGCTTCTGCACAAACCAGAGCATAGGGAAGGAGGATAATGACAGGGCGGTGTTGCTGCCCTGTTACGATGCCAGCATTATTAGAGAATGGGAACGTAGTACAAAAAACAGGCTGCAGTCTCAATGTCTCAGCTTCATACCTTGGGGCGAGCTTTGGATTCAAGTGCTACACTCAGGTCTCGTTCCAAATCAGATATGCTTGATCGCACCTGCATGGAATCATAAACAAGACACGTTGCCAGCTCAGTTAACCAAGTAAAACCATACTGCATAACCCTAGCTCCGAGCCTGAAATGCCAGAATCAAGCACATTCTGTTTCTCCATGCATGCACAACACAGAGAGCAGTCACTACGAAAACCAAGTGCCGCCAAAAAATGTTAAAAGGTACACTCACCTGCACCAAAGCCTGCGTAAGCCCGTGAGTCTCCTGCCTGATATCCGCCCTCACAGCAACAGCCTTCCCCTCCTCCTCCTCCACCTCTGCCTGCATTTGTTGCCCCTCTCTCTGCAGCTGCTCCCTCTCCCTCTCTGCCCGCTCCCTCTGCTGCTGCAGCGCCCTGCCTCGTGACATCAGCTGCTGTGCATGGTTTGCGAGCAGCTGAGAGAGCGAATACCAGGGGGAATATACGCGACATTCGACATGATGGTTTTGCATAGGAGTAAGGGTGTAGGAAAGAGGATTGATAGGGAAGCCAATGACATGCATCTTTGTAACAATGTGCATCTTTGCCAGATGGATCCTATCAGAATGTTGCAGAAATTGGGCGGCTTACCTGTTTCTGCCATGTCAGCACTGCTACAGTGAAGGAGGGCGGCCAGAGGGAGGTGGATGAGGCAGCATCTGCGACTGGCTCTGACCGACGAGGATGGCACATGGGATGGAGGAAGGGACGACGAGATGGGCGGAGGGGGGGTGGGATGGCGCATGGGATGATGAGATGGGTGACGGGATGGGGATGGGATGAGGAGGTGAAGGGGGGATAAGATGGGTTATGGGATGAGGGATGGGGGATGGGACAAGGTAGAAAACTAGTCACATGCAAGTTTCCAGGGAGGGTAGGCCAAAAACGAGGATACCACATAACCACTGTAATGAGAAGTTACCTGAAAGCTTCTCAGGCTGAATCAGGCCAACAAGGAGTTTAACCTCCTCGCCTCCTCTCTCCCCTCCTCCACTTCCTTCCCCCCCTCCTTTCACAGACCCCCCCACCCCCCACCCCCTGGCTGCTACGTAAGCCGCCACTGCCTCATAGAGAGCATCGTGCAAGGGGCGGCAGGCGAGAGGCAGTGCGGTTGCAAGGGATATGAAAGAGTCGGGGCTGATGCTGCTGCTGTTGGGAGAGGTGGAGATGGCCTGAAGCGGGACGGGTGGTAACGAAATGGAACATAGTTTTGAAAAAGTAGGAGCAGCCAGTTGCACTCGAAAGAGATGACGGGGATGGCTGGAAAGAGTGATTTCGGCATTTAGTAAATTGGGGTAAGGGGGGAAAGGGGGGGTAGGAATGCCAGGGTATGGGTACAGCAATGGAATGGATTCAGCATACTTATGCTGCAAAAAGGCATGCTCTTAAGCTGGAAGGGTAACATAGGTGTAGTGTCGCACCTTCAAGTAACTGTCCACAATAGATGCAGCCTGAGAGAGGCTGGCAGCGCCTGCGCCTTCCACAGCTGCAGCAGAGGAGCCAGCTGGGTGAGTGATTGCCGCAGCAGAAGCGTTTGTATCAGGCGTGCTTGAAGTGAAGATTGTGAGGAGAGCGAGGATCTCAGATGGAGGAAGAGGAAGCAGGTGGTCGACTTGACACTCGGTGATCCGACAGCCAATCATGCTGCAAAGGAGGGCAGTGCCAAGGAGGTGAAAGGCCAACGGTTGATGATCACAAAGCAATGACCATACGTGAATTCAACAGAAGTTCAACAAACAAGCAACTCCTTACGTTTGCAGGCGCGACTTGGCAGACTTGCTGGCATCGACCTCAGGGCAGAGGCGCAGCAGTCGCACCAGCAGCTGAATGGACGGCAGCCCCACAGCCCCTTTTCCAGCCTGCCCTGTTGCGGAGGGCCCAGCTGAGAGTGCAAAGAGCAGCGCTACTGCTGCTTCCAGGGTTGGCTTCCATGTGGAAGTAGTCTGGGCGTCTGCTGACGTGGCTGCAGGTGATGTGGACGTGGATGGGACGTCCTGATTGATGGAAGGACGGAAAAGGCAGTTTGGAAAAGCAGGAATCGTAGTGCAGTTATTTCATCACCAAGAGTGTTTTCACGCAGGCGAGACAAAGTAATAAATGAACAAGACATTGATGAACAAGCCTTAGGGAATGATTGACTGGTGATTGAAAGTGTCGACGCGACCATGGGAAGCGAAGTAATAAGGACAGACTGTGTGAGTGCAAACGAACCCATTGACAGAAATTGACAGCAGTGAAATCGTAAGAGCTGACCACAGGGAATGGCAGCCACGTGTTGCAGTAGGCCTCAAGCAGAGCAAAGAGATGCAGCGCACTCATGCCCAGGGAGCTGATGAATGGGAGCAACAAAGATAAGCATCGGAAGGATGGATGGGGAGAGAAAAAGAAGAGGAGCACGGAATAAGAGAGGATGAACCAGAGACGTCAGGTGCAGCAGGGCACTGAGATGCAGCGCACACATCCCAATGGCGCTGATGAACGGGTTCGCCATTGGCATTGACAAAGTAAACAATGGAGGGAAGCCGACAAAAGAGGGGCCGGGGAGGAAAGAGAGAGGTTAAAGAAGAGACTTTAACCCTAACAAAGGTCATATATGCGCAACAATCATACCCTCAGGTTGGATGGGTGGGGGTATTGAGAAGCCAAAAGTGGTGTGGGGAGAGAAGTGGTGTGGGTGTCCGGTGTCCCACCGCTCTTAGCGCAACTCACCTTAGAGCAGCATGCAGCTGGACGAACGTGGGGAGGGACAGATGCAGCAACTGGGGTGACAGCCACAGCGGTCCTGCGCCAGCCGAGTCCGTCTTTTCCTCCGCTTCACTTGCAGCTCCATCTGCAACCTTATCCTTGTCCTTCTCTTCCCTGCCTGCCTTATCTGTTTTGACAGCAGCGGCATCAGGACCGTCATAAGCGTCGTCACCTTTCCCCGCTTCTTTCACTACCAATCGTGCGACCGCGTTCACAGTGGTCAGCAGCAGCCCTGCTGACTCAGCACTCGCCCGGATCGCTGAGCTGGCATCACACGATTGAAGAACAGTCAGAGCAGCCCGGGGGTGAGAGAGATACGAGGTGAGGTGGCGAGACGCTAGGGTAAGCAGGTTACAGTCATAGGGACCACCGCACATGGCAGCTCGAGGGTCATCTCTCATATCCAGGTAAATCGCTGCACAGTAGAGAGCTGTGACGTTATCAGGGGTGATTGTAATGGGAACGCTGTAGCAGAAGCATGCGACGAGTTTGAATGTCTCGATTCCGCCTGGGAGGTTGGAGAGGTCAAGACGAGCTCGCTTCCCATTGGCGGAGCTCTCTGGGTCTCCAGAATTCCGCCTGGAGCTGCTCTTCTCCTCCTCCACAGCATGCTTGGAGAAATAGTCAGTCTGACAATGACACAGAAAATAAAATGAAGGTTCAACGAAAGAAATGATGAAAAGAAAAAGTTCAAACAGATTTGCGGTCAAGCTAAAGATGCACACACTCTACCGAGGTTCACTCTGACAAGGGTAGGAGATCCCTCTACCTTGGAATAGAGGGGGAATTTGTGAAGTTGGTAGTTGACTGTAGCGCCAAACGTGATGGTGAAGTCACTGCGCATGCCAGCTGCCTTGAGGTACACCTGATCCATGCCTCCATATACGTCCACGTTGAGATCCAATAACGAGGATGAATCTCCTGATGACGGAACCGGTGCTGCTGCAACACCTGCACCAGATTCTGATTCCGAAATCGAAATAGAGAAGCCTCCTGCTGTTAATGAGGATGTCGCTGAAGAGGATGCGGATGTATTGACGCTGAGAGGAGTTGCGGGCGAATCCGTTACTCCAGTTGGGAATGAATGTCCATGAGAAGGCGGAGGGGTAGGTGGAGCATCAGCGTCCATCAGCGATATCAGTTCGCCAGGCTTAGCCGTCAATTGTCCTGTTGGTACACCCCTTATCTGCTGCTGCATGGACTGTTGCTGTTGAAGTTGTTGTAGCACCTGATGCCTTCTTTTGCTGTGGTTTACCGGCTTCCATCTCAAAGTCACTGCTTGACTTATCTGAAAAAGAAGCTGCACCTTCCGACTTGGCAAACTTGTGGCAAACGTCTGAGCGTGATTTCCCCACCGGGGTTTCTTGCAATTTTCCTTGCAGTGCCTCTCTTCTTCGTCTCACCGGTCCCATGAACCAAACCACTGCTCACCGGAAAAGCTCCTTTCGCTTTTCCTGAATACGAGGACGTGAAACGACTACGCGAGTATCTCCTCCAAAGCGTAGAATGAAAGGCCTTGACGAGAAATGAACTTCGCTGCGGCAGAAATTCTGACCGGAAAAGGCTGCATGTGTTGGAGTATTCGAAAGACAAGTAAACCCAGTCTAGAAGGTAACAGACTTCTCCTTCAGTAATATGTGAAAATGGATAATGGCGACAACCCATTTTTAAGGGGACCAGTGAGAACCCGCCGTCCTGGAAAACGTTGATGCTGGGCTTTCGATTCTGCATCGGAAATGGCGAAGGAACACTCGTCCGTGATATTGGAATCGTCAGATCGTAAGGCTGACGGAATAAGCTCATGACCAGCTTGCCTCGAATGCAACATCAGCTCCGTGAAATCAGAAAACCGGATAAGGAGTCCTTGTCAAAACTGTTGGGAATCTCAATGGTCCACGAAACTGAAACCTGGCTGAACTATCGCCATTCGTCGAGTAACAACGACGTTATTCTCGAAGAGCAATGTCGCTATCTAATCGATATTTCCGATGCCGCGCTGGCCTGCAAGCCATGACAGGAAAACAACCAGCGGCAGCAAGAATGGGGTTGGAGGAATTTCCCCAATTTTCAAATCCGTATATCGTTGGTGGCTCGAGCATGTTTTTGAAGTGACTTGTGCGGTTCCAGGATACTTACTGGTTAGTTACGGTTCAAAACCTTTCTCTGGGAGAACAAAGTGGTCGAATACGTTCTCAAGCAAAACTAAACTAGCCCCTCTAAGTGGATAGACACGCCAAACCGTGAAATCCGAGAGGTTGGACGATATCGTCAGATTGACGCCGTCTATTTTCCGAGCTCGTCAGGAATACTCGCTGGAGGAGGGGAAAAGCAAGTGTCGAACTATCGATGTCACGAAACCCTTTCAAGGGAAAATATGTCAATGGTAACTTACATGGGGCACTATAACGCGTACGGTAAATTGCTTAACGCGTTTGGTAACTTGCTTAACACGTTTGGTAACTCACGTAACGCGTTATGGTAACTATACACTAGCAGCCCATCACGCGAATGGTAATTACATGAAACTCCCGCCGAAATGATCCTGACAAAAAGAAATTTATCGATTTGAAAGTTTTTACACACTGTTACGAGTGCAATTGAGTGAACTATTGAGAATTGCACTATCGAAGCAAGAGTACAATGAGCGAAGGCATGAGCGAAGAATATATAGCGAAACTACAGTGGTAACGGTAATGGACTGTGGTTGTCGCGCGACGGGCCTGGGACTGAGGTTGGAAAAAGTGTCGAAGCGGAGGCCTGGAGCGCGGGTTACCCGCCGAGCCGTCAGGTCGAGATGCGATGTGCGAAGGTGGCGGGCGGATTGTCGATGCGAGGGTTGCGAGTGGTAACGGTGCTGACTGTGGTGCTACAGTGATGTACGCGTTGAGCAATGATGCGAAGTAAGGAAAATGAATTTTCCTTACACGGACAGTTTTATCCCTTCTGAACAAGTCCCGCCGCGACTTTGAAGGATCCCGTTTATTATACTACCACGGACCGAAAAGTTTCAGAGCTGTTAAAATCTTATTTTAGATAGCATGATTGCGAGCTTGCAAAATTATCTAGAAAAACATTCCCCGAAAGGACATCGGGATTTTTACTTTTTGTAATTCCTGGAACATTGGAGAATTTTTGCATGTGGGAAAATATAAACTCTTTAGAATTACATGTTTCATTTTTCTGTAACCATAAACGCCTTCTCGCAAGGAGTTTACCGTCGCCTCTCAAATTCATTTGCCATCTGAAAGGGGTGTAGATTTTTTTTCCCCGGCTGCACGATAGAATGAAGTATAAACAGTTTGCGGAAAGAGCGCCAGAATGTCAGTTATGTAAGACCAGTTGTTCTCACAACACTCACGCTCTTGCAATTCGCTTGAAAATCGGAAAGTGTGTCTGAATTTCGGAAAGATGTGTCAGAATCTCTGAGAGTGTCAAAGGTTTTCTGCTTCAGGATTCGTCAATTTCGTCTGACGCGAGCGGGAAAAACCAGAATGAGGGTCATTTTGGGCGAGGGTTTCTTCTAGCAGCTAACTTCATTGATACTCAAATTATGCCAGAGACGTTTTCCATCGATACTCAACCTAGATTGCTCATCTCTGATCGGTACTCGTTTTTCAATCACACTTTTTACACTAGTAACAACCCCGAAATGTGACAGAAACAGAACGCAATTACCGAACTCAAATATACACTATTGTGTCGAGGTTCTACCTAAGAATAGACACGAAAAATTTATTGAATACTCAACCCATTAAAATTTGTATCAAGCAAGAATTGCGTAAATATAAAAAAAAAAACGTCATTGGGAAAAATGATGCAGACTGGGAATAACTCAACGGATTATGTCGTATCCTTGGCTGTTGTCAAGAAGTTGGTGTCAAGAAGTTTGCGCACGCGATTGGTCCAAAGAAGACGCTCGGCCAATGCGATTGGTCAAGCGTCTTCTTTGGACCAATCGTGTGCGTAAACGTCTTGACACCAACTTCTTGATACTAGGCTGGGATATGACCTTAGGGTTGACAGCACCGTTAACCCTCCGTCGACTGTGGACATGCTGACCTCGTTCGAAATAAAATAAAAAACCTCTCGGATGACATGAATTCTAAACATCATGCGACAATGTGTTTAGGGTTAATGTCATTCTTAATTGATGTCTTTTAACAGGAAGGTTATTTTTAATTGCCCGCATGTAGCAGACTCCATTGGGCGGTGTCGTCATAAACACTTCACGAGTTCCCGTATTTAGGGTTAACATTTCCAAATTCCGTCCTGGTTATCCAAGCGTTTTAGTACCGTCATCGCCCGGATATAAGACAGTGTTGAATAGTAGACAGGGGTTGTCTATTATACGGGTGTCTCTTATAAACAAGCTAGCCTTTTTATACGACACCTATTTGTGTGTACGAGATAAGACATATGTGTCTTATAATCAAAACTGCAATGTATTATAGTGAAAATTGAAATACCGCGTACATTTTTACCCTTGGGACACGCGAATTCTGCCACGTGTTGAGTCACGTACTACCAAATTTGACTCTGCAAGTATTCGGGATGACGTGGCGTCCCGAACAATGGTTGCCGAAGTAGCAACTTCGCAACATCGACACTCTTAATGAGAAACTCTTTTCAAGATGCGTGAAAATATTTCTAAGTAGTTTAAAAAGGTTTCCATTTATAAGACTTATCACATACCCAAAACCTCCCCAAATACAAGATAACCCAAGCATTTTTTTTAATGTATGAGATAAGACATATATGTCTTATGTCCGGGCGATGACGGTATGTTTCCTTTTTTGTTGGATATGTGCGGAGCAGCTGGTGGCGACATTGTTTCAGGTTTGTGCTTATAAATAAATAAAACAGTATTCTCTGTTACTACACTGCAAAATTGTTGGTTAATTACGTTTGCAAACCGCTTCTGGCATAATTTGAGTATCAATGAAGTTGGGCGTTTCTTCTAGTTACCATTCGCGTGATGGGCTGCTACACCCTCTTTCTTGCCATTATGATTTCGGTTACAATGAAGACAAGATGGGAAAAGCACGATTAACGGTGGTTAAATTGCATTTCGGTATGGTCCAATTAGGTAAATCGAAGATAACAAGGTTTTTCCACCAGTTCGGCACAGTTCAGTGTAGCGAGAAACAGGGTGTAGTGTATAGTTACCATACGCATTAAGCGAATTACCAAACGTGTTAAGCGAGTTACCAAGCGCGTTAAACGGGTTACCAAACGCGTTGACATCGTTATCGTACGCGTCATAATTGCCCATGCAAGTTACCATTGACATTTTTTCCCCTCTTTCAACTATTGCAGGTTCTGTTTATAGTTCCATAATTGGGTAAATGTTTGGAAATAGCTGTTTTCAGTCAAGAATCAACTCTTCCACACAGCATTATATGACCCTGAACCTAACCCTCGACGGTATCAAACAATACACAGCCGTCCTGTGCATGCTCTTGTACGAACCACTCTGCATGCACTATCATGCAGGAAGTGGCAGGAATGAATCTTATTCAACCACCTGCCACTCAACTACACACACAAAAACATCACTCCACAGCATTCACAAGCACCCTATTTTCCTATCCAGACAAAGATTCCCTAGAGTACAGGGAAGAAAACACCGTAGCGGGGTTGCCTTTCCACTACTCCCGGCCAGACCAATACTCTCATAGTTCACTTCACTTCAAGCATCTGTCGACTCCTCTACAGTGATCTTGGCAACGCCTGTCGCCGCGCTTGCAACGGCGCCTGCCAGATCTTCAAAGCTTTTATCCCCCTGCAGTTCTTGACTTGAGGCTCCTGTGGGACTGGCTGCGTACAATGTCTCTCAGAATGTCCTCCTTGGACTGCTCCTCCTCCGATGGCATGGATGCTGTGCGCTCTGGGGGCTTCTCTCCCTTGTACTCTGCATATGCTGCAGCCAGTTGATCAACCTGCAGGCGAAGCGAGAGAAAGAGGGGGAATGGGAGTGTTATTTGAGTACTCTTTAGAGGCACCTTAAATGGGGGTGATATTTGGGCAGGGTTGGAAGTCAGGGTGTGAGTGAGATGGAACATTGATGAAGGAGGGATGGAACGAGGGAAACAGGGAAGGGAGGGATGGGTAAGGCAGCAATCCAGGGATGCAACCAGAGCAGGAGGGGGGGTCAGGGGGGGTGGTGATGGGGATGAAGGGCTGACTGAAGAATGCTGGGAAAGGAGCAGCAGGGAAGAGTCAGCAGGGAAGATCCAGCAGGGAAGAGTCAGAAGGGAATATTCAGCAGGGAAGAGTCAGAAGGGAAGATTCAGCAGGGAAGGGTCAGAAGCAGAGATTACCTCTCGTCGGGGGCGGGTGCCGGGAATGGCGCGCAAGCGATTGAGTGTTCTGGTGTCGATGTGTGTGAGTACCTGGTCCCTGTGAAGGGGTTAGAGGCGGAAGAAGGCGTAAGATGCAGGAGGAGAGGTGGTGGGGTTGGAGGGTGGGAAGCAGGGGCGGTGAGAGAGAATCCACAGTTTTTACTTGGCACACACATCAATGCACAGGACAACGCGTAAGAGCGCATCAAGTGCCAGGCCTGCTGGCAAGTGAAACAACGACAGCGATTGGCGAATAGTGATTCTCTGGTTCTCTGTAGCAGCTGTCACCACTAGCACTGCCACCAGACACTCCCAGAGAAATCACGCAAACCCCTTGCATGCACGCGCATGCATATACAGCAGCACAAAACAGCCCCATCCCATCCCCCACTGCTTACCAGGTGGTAGGACGGCTAGCCAGGCGAACAAGAACAGCGATGGGTGCGTAGTGATTCTCTGCCTGTGCCGCCACCACCAGCGCTGCCACTAGCGCCTCACAGTCCACCTGATTGGCTGTGAAGGCCTTGGCACAGTCTTCAGACTCGCACAAATGCAGCACAAAATACACCACGCTCTGATGGGGCACGCGGGGGATAGGGGTGAGGTCAAGGGGGGGGTGTGTGAAGGCCTTGGCACAGTCCTCTGACTCGCACAGATGCAGCACGAAATGCACCACGCTCTGATGGGGGAAGTCGAAGAGTAAGGGAGAAAGACAGTTGGCCTTGGCACGGTCCTCTGACTCGCACGTGTGCAGCACTAAGTGCACCACGCTCTGATGGGGCGGGTAGTTGAATGGGGGTGAGTGGAGTGAGCAGAGGGTATGAGTGTGAGCGGGAAAGAGAAAGTTTCCTCACAGTCGCGAATCTGTCAAGCCTGGTTGGCTGTGAAGGTCATGGCACAGTCCTCTGACTCGCACATGTACAGCACAAGATACACCATGCTCTGACAGTGCGAGCCCTGACTCATGTTTCGAAGGCTGCAGTAGTAGAGAGGACGCTTAAGCAAAGGAACAACAGTAAAAATCTTGTGAAAAAAAAAACGCAGATCTGGAAAACCCTAAGCTTCCGAAAAGCCTCTTCGAAACATGAGTCAGGGTGACTCATGGCACAGTTCTCTGACTCGCACATGTACAGCACAAGATACACCATTCTCTGACAGTGCAAGCAGATCGAATGTGTCGGTGAGTGTGGTGAGGAGTGTGTGAGAAGAGTGTGTGGGAAGAGAGAGTGTGCGTGGGTGAAGTGAGTGAGGGGAGGTATGTGAAATGTGGGGAGAGTGTGAGTGGGGAGATAGTTGAGAAAGAGGAAGAAGCAGTTGTTTGCAAAGACTGTAAGCCCTCTGTTTGGCTGCGAATTAAAGGCCTTAGCATATTCTTATGATTCACATGTGTGCAGCACGAAATGAGTCACGATCTAATAGGGCGAGTGGAGTAGGAGGGATGGAAACGAGTGTGAGGAGAAAGTTGTGTTGGGACAGGGATGAGTGAGTTGGGAGGGGTGGAGGAGGGAGTGTGGGGATAACGTCATGACTCGAAGCATCATCCATCCACTGTACTCCTTTCCAATCTTTCTCAACCTTGCCTCCCTCTTCTCTCTCCTTTTCCGACCCCTTTCCCTCATTCCCTCCTCACCCTCCCCCTAATCCCTCCCTCCCTCTTCCTTCATCCCCCCTCCCCATCCCCGCTCATTCCCCCTCCCCCCAACCCCATTCATCCCCCCCTCCCCCTCCCCTCACTCCCCGCTTCCTCCTCCCCTTACCTGGTGTGCCAGGCTGTCAGTGTCATCCACGTGGCCAATCAGGATGTGCGTCAGCTCCTGCTGCTGACTCAGCAGTCCCGCGTACAGCTGGAGCATGCTGGCCCGCGTGGCAGCGTCAGGGTTGATGGTTGACGTCACCAGAGCCAAGCTGACGTCCTGGTGGTTATCCACCAGGTCTGGCGAGCCCAGCACCCTCAGCAGATGCGCTGCTACCACCGGTCGCAGCTGGGGAGGAAAACACGAATGAACAAGGGAAGTTAGAACAGGACAGGGGAAGAGGACGGGAATGGGGGAGAAGGGGGAATGAGACATGGAGTGAGTCACCAGTGCCAAGCTGACGTCCTGGTGGTTATCCACCAAGTCTGGTGAACCGAGCACCCTCAGCAGGTGTGTTGCTACCACTGGACGCAGCTGGGGAAAACAGGAATTCGGAGGGCAGGAGTGAGACGAGGGAAAGAAATCGAAGGGCAGGAATGAGGGGAGGGAAAGAATGTGAAGGGCAGGAATGAGGATGGGAGGAGAGGGGATGAGCGAGGACGAGGGAACAGGACAGGGGAACGACAATGGGAATGGGGAGAATGAGACATGACGAGAGTCACAAAGAGCACCCTCCTTGACACCTGCAGGTGGAAAACCAGGGAGCTCATATCCTCACCTCGAAGTTGGAGAGCGAGTATCCTTTGGGTGACAGCCAGAGCGCCATGAGCGCAGCGTCAGCCTGCACGACGGCCTCCTCCACACCCGATTCCTGCCTGAGCCGCTCCAGCGTGCCCATCACCCCGGGCGTCAACACCTACAGTATCAGACAACCCATACCCGTACCTCGGGGTTGGAGAGCGAGTATCCTTTGGGTGACAGCCAGAGCGCCATGAGCGCGGCGTCAGCCTGCACCACGGCCTCCTCCACGCCCGACTCCTGCCTGAGCCGCTCCAGCGCGCCCATCACCCCGGGCACGTGCTGCACGATCAGATCCGCTGCGCCGTTCGTGGCCATCACCAGCAGCGCCTTGCACGCCTGCATGTGGATCAAGGACTCTGTCACGTCGCCCTCGTTGCTGCTGCCCTCGCTGCCGCCGCCCTCCTGCTCCTCTACCGCTGCTGCTGTAGCCGCCTCTGCCCCTGCTACTTTAGCTGCCTCTGCGTCTGCAGCAGCTGTGCCGTTTGGCAAGGCGGGTTCCGTGGCCTCTGTCTCACGCTCCCCTACCCCATTCTCAGCGACATTCTGAGCAGCACCAGTAGCAGCAGTGGCATCGGCTTCATTCCCACCAGCATCCTTATCACCCGACCCATCAGCACCCTTCACACCACCAGCAACCGAGGCCTTAACCGGAGTGATTAGATCAATCAGCCGCTCCAGCAGGCGCTTTGGGAACGGCGGCGGATTGGTTCATGGGCCACGTGGAGGGGGTGCAGCACCTCGGAAACCGCCCTGCAGACCTGGAAGTAGAGCAGGCGGTTGGAGACGCGCGGGAGCAGCAGCGCGGGCTGCAGGCACTGGAAGATCTCCTGCGCGCGCGTGCTGCACACGATGGTGCTGCGCGGGTTGTTCATTAAGTCCGCCAGACAGCTCGCCATGCACACCAGCAGCGCCTCGCTCACTGCCTCCCCCGCCGCCGCCTCCCCCGTTCCCCCCGTTCCCCCTGTTTCTCCCCCGGCTGCTGCTGCTGCTGCGGCAGTGTCTGCTTCGCCGGCGTTGGCTTGTGAGCTGCTCTTCCGCCTCTTGCTGTCGCTCGCTCCCTTGCACCGCTCTATCGAGGAGGAGAGGAGAGGGGAGGGGAGGGGAAGGGAGGGGAGGGGAGGGGAGGGGAGGGGAGGGGAGGGGAGGAGGAGGAGAGCGTGGAAGGAAGAGGAGGGGACGAGGAAAAAAGGGCGGGGGAGCAAGACGGAGACGGGGAGGGGTCGGGGGGATAGTGGGGGGACAGGAAGGGATAGAGAGGGAAACAAAGTAAAGTAAGTTGAATCGCCTCATAACACATACCCACGCTGTCGTTTTCAACATTGCAGCATGTGGAGGAGTTATGACAGCGACATCACTGATTATTCACTGAGCACACCGCAGTACGTAGTGAACCACCCATCGGTCCAACAGTTCTGCATCAGCCGCAGCATTCACACAGCCGCATCAATCACTCACTCAGCACGCTGCAGCACGTAGTGACCCATCGGTCCACGTGCATGAGGTGCGGGTTCTTCTTGTCGTTCGCTGCCGTCATCGCCAGCAGCTGCGCCGCCGCCTCCGCCAGTGCCTGGTCCTCCGCCCCTTTCGCCACCACCAGGGCCATTAGCTGCGGAGGAGGAGGGGCGGGGGGGAGCGGAGGGGGGGAGGGCGGGAAAAGAGGGGGGGGGAAGGGTAAATCGGGGGGGGGATAAGAGGCGGCGCGGAGGAGGGGGGAAATGGAGGAGGGTGTGGGGGAGGGAAGGCGGGGAAAAGCGGTAAGTTCTTGTGCCTAACCAAAATTGCCTGATATTTTCCTGCTTACGTCCGCTTCTTTAGCAAATTTCTTTCCGTTTTACTTTAGTTAGGTGCTGCAGTTCAATTACGGCTATTAGGCACACATTCGCACATGTTCGACGACTCCCTCGTGCGATGTTGCGAAGGAGCCAAAAGTCGCAGCATTTCAACAACCGAACAGGTACGGCGAGGTTCGAGGTTTCGAAAGTCGCTGAACCTGAGCATTTCACAGAACAATCAGGCTCTCATTCATACCTGTTCGGCCGCTTCCTTCTGTGATGCTGTAATGGAGTCAGGCCCTTGCTCTACGGCTAGTTCCGCCAATGCGTGTGCGATCTGAGCAATGACGGAAGATTATTGTCAGTCATGAGACTGTAAGTGATTCGAATACACCAGAGAAACTCGAATGCTGCGTAACCAGACGCGAAACGTAACACGCGCAATGGAGAAAACAATGAAGAAAGCATCTGGAACTCGTAAGAGGCCACAGCCCGGAACGTAAGAACGAGTTGCGAACCTTCGGATGATCTTTCGCACGAGATAACGGGTGATCTGTTTGCGTGAATCCCAAACACGCGACGACATCTTCCATTGGTATCGACATGTTCGCACGCGTCGCACGCTTCGCTAACGACGCCCAATCGTTCTTGCTTAGACAAACGCTACTGTAACAACTAGGCCCGATCTCTAAGGCTGAGAAATTGAGCTGCTGGTGCTGGAGAATAATCAGTTAGTGACCTACTGACCGTAAACGGAATCAGGAATGCGTGATGCTGCAACAAAAATGTATTTGGAAAGGAGCCCCAACGTTTCTAGAGCCAGGTAAGGCAATCAAGACCAGCAGCTGCGTAAGAACCGCGGCTGCGCAACTATTTGCGTGAAAAGTGAAGACTCGAGTGAGTGGTAACATTCATCTCAAGACTTGTTTTCTGCGCCTTGAATCCTTGACTTCGCAGCCATGCCACAAGCAAATGAATGGTTACTAAGCGTGGAGGGGACGAACGAACCAAAACCAAGGGGAGGGATAGGGTTGTTGAAACGCGGGAATCGGGGGAGATTTCGATGTGAGATGGATGGCTGGAAGTGGGCCATCGGTGTATGTGCGTATCGCAATCAATGGACCACGATCGCCACTTCGAGGGAGATTCGAGAGGTCGAACGGACAAGTGTGGGGCGGGGGAAGAGTCGATGGGCGCCACCTGGAAAGTAGCTAGCGGGCAGAATGGAACCTCAGCCAACACCTCAGCTCCCTGTCAGGTCTACAGTGTTCCATCGATCTGTCGCTTGGGCACCTAAGGGCGTGTCCAGCGCGTACGTTTGCGGTTCGTTTACATTTCATCACCCATGGTGAAAAACGATAACGGTTCAAACCGATTTGCAGTTTCCAGCGTGACGCAACAAGGTCAACCGCACAGGATGAACTGAAAACGTACGCGCTGGGCCCTAAGAACTTCCAAAACAGTCTCGCTTTTAGCGGGGCGGGAAGGGCAGGCCTTATCAGTGGAGTTGTTGAGCTGATATGGATCCCACAAATCAGAACTCCCTCAGTGAACAAGCAGCTGGCAGCAGTCAAGCAGGATGAACGATACGGATGGAGCCACGCAAGCATTTGTTCTCAAGTGTCGCCTGGGACCATCACGTACAGTACACTTGGTTGTGACAACAATATGCCAGCTGTCCGTACACGGGATCTGCTGTGACATGACCTCACCTCTCCTCACCCCACCCCACCTCACCACCTCCCAATAAGGGCATGCGACAACGGGGGACGGTGGAGACTGATGCTGAATCCACTCATGCTGCCACCTGCCTGTATCTCTCGATACCCGATATGCAGTTACCGGTACGGTACGGTACTTTAGAGCGTAGAAGCACTGCCTAGGAACGGGCTATGCAATGACTTCTCGTAGTGCAAGATGTTTGGCTGGATCAGTGAGCATAATGCCCTGTCCTTTCTCCTTTCTGTCTCAGCCATGATGTCACATTATGATGATGATGCAACACTGATGGACCTATCGTGATGGGCAGCACCACCTCTAGTTGGGAAGACAAACCAAACCACATGTCATGCATTACACACCACAGCATTGCAACATTATGGCAGGCTTGTTTGCCAACATGGAAATTTTGCTTTTACACCGATTGCAACAATCCTCACCGCATGGTCTCTCCATCCGACCATATCGTTGCAATGTCTAGGGAGCTATTATGACGGTTCCAACAAAACAAACCACCAAACCATTCGTCTGAAGGCACTAAGGCAAATTCTTACACTAGCATCTTTACTGCCTCGTGCCTTATTTACATACTATCTACAGCTACCCACGAGTTTTGCACCCTTCACAAGCTCTTGTGCTTCTGCATCCTCCGACCTCATGTGCGTGCAGCACCTTCTGGTTTCACATTCCCACTCACAATCTCAAAACCTTGGCATAGCAGAGCCACACATCCAGCACCCAAGGCAGAACTCATGCCCTTTCCAAAAACATTCCCATGGCAGCAGTAGTATCCAAGGCCTCTGCTATGATACACCAGAGGGAGGAATAAAGACCACGGCAGATGGGGACGGGGCCACCGGAACAGATTCAAGAACGCGGCCATCTACCCCGGGAGGAGTCGCAGCTTCTCTCAACCACAATGACCACAGTCGAACCCACACTGAGGGTAAGCCTCCCCCAGCGGTTGCTGCTGAAACGGACTGCTGCTCAATTGGAACCGAATTCGCACTCTGTGGCACAGAATTTGCCGAAGTCTCCCCCTCTGCTACCCCCCTACCTGCTCCTGCCACCGCTTGCTGCCCTAACTCCTCTCTGTCGGCTTCCAGACCCGCTAAACCTCCCCCCGTGCTGCTCTCCCCTTGCTCTCCCCTCTCGATTTGTTGTCCCCTATCTCCCGCTATCCCGCCTCCTTCTGAATCTCCTTCCTTGACTTCAGCACTTGGACCGATGTGTCGGCGGCATATCGGGCAGGTCGTTTTTCCTTGGAGCCACGTGTCAATGCAGTCCACGTGGAACACGTGCCCGCACGGGGGGAGCAGTTTCAGCATGTCCCCGGAAACATACTCCGCCAAGCACACCGCGCACTCGCGAAATCCCTCTCCTTCCCCCCAGTTCGGTACCGCCTTCCCGCCCTCCAAATCCCCTCTTCCTTCCTCTCCCGGTAACTTCAAACCGCCGTACTCCACGAATTTATCGCTCTCCGCCGTTTCCGGGGAGAACATGAACGTGGGGAAGGAATCAACGAGCGCGTCTTCCAGTCCCCGCGTTCCCGGCCTTCCGCGTGAGGCGCCGCCATTTTCGAGCGCCAGATTCGCCCGGCGACGGCGGGAAAAGGCTCGGTTTCGCACGAACGAGAAACAGAAGCTGACGGAGACGAGGACGAGGAGGAGTGCTGAGACGGTGACGATGATGCTCGTCGATGACGCGTCGAGGCCATAGTTCCGGGTGATGTTGGCAGAAGCAGACGACATTGTCAGTGATAATCCAGGCGAAATCTCGTTAACGGAATGATTCTTTATGTAAGAACGTCGAGAGATGAATCCCCGCTGTCCAAGAATTAGCCAGGCGTTAGTCACGCGTCGCAGAGAGAAATGGCGAGATTCAATGAAATCTATGTGAAAACTGCAGAGCGGGGCATACAGAAAGCTTGCGCTAAGGACTGAAGTACGTGGGAAAATAAAGTTACAGAAACGACGTAGCGAAATACCCAGGCTACAGCGTCAAGGGAGCGGTTGAGCGGCTGGTGTCGTGTGTGGGGCCTGTGTGGGCCGCGCAATACCGCTTTGGAACGCAACCCATCGCACAGAACTGACGTGGTTTGAAGACGAACACCTAGTTTTGTTGTGACTCGTTGCTGGCTGGTAGAGCTGTCAGGCCTAGATAGATGAGCATGCATATCGTATCATGGTTGATCTGTGCATTGCGTTACACAACTCAGAAGTACAGTACGACAGTTTCCAGCTTGCTGGGTTGACTATGAAGTAGAAACCTATTACAGATTACGAGCAACTAGCAACAAGATGTTGCCCACTACGTAGCACTCTGGGCACTTCGTAAAGCTGCTCCCCAGAACACGTTTTCTCATTCTCTTAAATGTACATCAGCCACGACCCAACCTTGGCATAAATGAAGAGGCTGCATTGGCTGCTACTTCGCAGATTGGCGACACTATTTCCTGATAGATACTCTTGGCTGGCTGCAGATACACCTCCTTCGTGAAAACAATTTATCCGTTGGTCATAACCGCAGGTTCTCCCACTCAGCTTCCTTGAATAAAAGAAAATCACCATCTTGTGTTGAGTCAGGGTCTCAAATTTCTATCAGCATCCTGCTCCAAGGGTTCGCCGGAGCCCGCAGTTTGGGAAGAGTGAACTAACGGAGTAGATGTGGACGAAATCCGCTCGAGCGAAATTGTGTGAGAAACTGGGGGATTGCTTTCTTCCACGCTTCTGGACGTTTCGTCACGACAACTACCGTTGTCACACAAAGCTGGGTTGCAACACTGTCCATTGCTGTCGCAAAGTTGATTGATGGCGATCACGACATCTGCTTCCCCGTGTTCGCCATCCGTCGCGGACTTCGACCCGCTGTCGACCGATGGCTTGGGTCTGAGATTCGCCCGGCACACTGGACAAGTTCTCTTCCCTTCCAGCCACATGTCGATACACGATTCGTGGAACCTGTGACCGCAAACCGGAAGAGACTTGATTTCGTCGCCTGGTTCGTAGTCTTGTAAGCAGATGCAGCACTGACGGAAACTGACACAGTCGCTCTCCTTGGCTTGCTCAGCTGCGAAAACGAAGGTCGGAAAGCTCTTGACGAGGTCTTTATCCAAGCCGAAAAGTCTCCGCCGCTGGTTATTCCTGTCGTCCTCCTGTTCTGGTTCAGGAGCAATGAACCAGCGAGCGAAAACGAGGCACAGGAAAAGACCGACGAAGGCAAGAAACGCGGCGGTGATCGAGGCGATAAAGGCGCCTGGGGGAAGATCTGACGAGCTGGAATTGGAATCGAGAACAGGGGGAGGGGTGACATTGTTGCCATGGGGTGCAACCAATTCCTCCCACAACTAGCAGATATCTTGTGTATTAACGACTTGGTCTAGAATCACGTGCCGGCACAACCTGACTAATGCCAACAGGCATTTACCTCTGAAACGAAAATTTGGATCGCGTGGAACAAAGAACTAAACCGTATTCAACGGAAAGCTAAAAAAAAAAAAAGCGAAGTTGAAAGGCGCTTCGAACGTCGGATATCGCAGATGGCTTGAAGCGGAGAAATCGAAGGCCTGAACAAGAAAGGACGGTTCACAGCTTTTTGAAAAGGCTAGAGAACAGACAGCGAAGTGCAAACAGAACAGGAAGAGAAGAACTGGAGCATAAACGAAGTGGGAGGGAGGAGAGAGAGGAAGGGAAGAGAGAGAGTTTGGTTCTCCTCTCTGCAAGAAACTGGCGATCATGCTGACCAGGCAGGCAATCGTGGAAGCCTCATCTCGTGGACCGAGCAGTGCAGGAGCTGGAGCAGATGGCTGACTGAAATGTCAAACTCCTCCGTGGTTGGTTGGTTGCACGCACGCAACTCCCGGTTTTTATTCTAAGGGAGAGTACATGCCAGGTCCTTAGTTTCAAAAATATCTAAAATTTATGGAAAAGTCCAAAAATTTAGGTACTTGCCCAAAAAGTCCAACTTTGTGGAATTTTGTTCATGCGAGGCCCAGATCATGTTCAAAACTGGTCCTGCGAGGCCAAAATTCGACACGTGTCTATTTCGCACCAATATTTTATCAACAGGGTAAGCCAATCATAATACTCCTAGGGTGACGGGGCACATTTCGGGAGGGATCAACCCTAAACACCGGGCGGGTTCCCGTGTTTAGGGTTGATCCCTCCCTAAAAGTGTCCTGGTTTCACTAGGGGTATTATGTTTTTTTGCCCCGTCGAGAAATTCTTGGTGCGAAATGGACACGTTTCGAGAGTTAAGCCCCGCAGGATGTGTTTTTGAACATAATTTGGGCCTCGCGTGAGCGAAATTCCACAAACTTGGACTGTTCGAGTGAGCTTAGATTTAATTTTGAGAGAGTTCTGAACATATGGAGCTAACACGTATTCTCCCTTATTCTAACGAAGGTGATGTTGGATGAAAGGTTGGGCTTGCGAATGTTGGATATCCCGTTTCCCCACAGCTCCCTCCTGCCCTCGGACAAAAGCTGTTTTGTACATGTACTTTTCGTTTGCCCGGTTTCCACGAACAGCAAACGTAATGCACTGGTAGCAAAACTGCTGGTTAGTCCCAACTGGGAATGCGTGAGTGGGCTATGATATGGAAGCCTGTCTGCTGAAAACATGGTGATTTATGGGGATAGGAGTTGTTTTACCGGGGTCTCCGCACATGATAGTTTTTCTGGCCTGTGGAATTTGACGTTCCACTGGTGGACACCCAAACTCAAACGCCGTGGAAAATCACCCGCCGCAAGTTTCCAAAAGATCTCACATGAAGGACCCCAAACCAAACACCTGACCACATCGATAGGTTTGATTCGAGCACACCTGAGGCCTTCGGTTCGGTTAGGGCTCAATCACCTCGCCCAGGCATAAGCTAGAGCTGATGGTGAGGTGATGTGGAGAGAGGCTTTGCTTTCTCATTGGTGTGACGTCTGGCGCGGCAGGCCAACCACTGGTATTGGCCAAATGGTGGTGTGGTTGTGCTCCTCCCCCACATGTGAACCTCCGCAATCATCAAATGACAGCGCACAGGCACAGAGGTTACTGCATCTAGGAAATCGCAATCATTTCCACGGCGTCCCCGTTGTTGGCCATAACGAACAGAGGGGAACACCTCACAGATAGAGGAGTATTAAAAACAGGGACATAACACACACTAACTTAGCACCACCAACACATATCATGATAACATGAAGTTTTGCTATTATTCCAAATCCATGTTAAAAAAAATATTTCTATCATATTTAGAATTTTAATTCATATATGCCTAAATAATTATTATTATATAAGGTATGTACGGAAGTTGCTAATTTTACTGCAATATGTTATGCATGAAACTCTACTAAAAACAGCAGCACTATGAACTACTCTACGAGATATCAATAGAGCTTTGCAATGCAGCGGACGCAACTGTTTCCGACCGTTGGAGTTTCCTTCACTGATCAGTCCATCTATCCAAAACCACGCGACACTTTCAGTTCTCTGTGAAGCCTTCGTGCAGCCCCTGCGACAAATTCGCAGCACACCACGACCGTCATGAACAGTGACGAAGGTCCGTCTATCGTTCGTAAACCCGTTAGACTCACACAGCATACCACGGCTAGGGTTTAGGGTCAAAGCAGCATAACAGCAGACCTAGACCAGCCACACAGCAGCACAGCAGCACGCATACACCGTCCCACGTGGTTGCTCAGGCACTTGTAGGTTAGGAAGCTTCGAATCGGTAGTATTGGGGTGATGGCTGCTGCTGGCTGGTTGCTCGCCGAGCCGCGGCCGTGTGCCTCCTTGGCATCCGGGGTTTTTCCACGCTCCGGCTTGCCTAGGATAGTAGAGGGTGGGCGAAACAGTTGCCACGGCAGCCAAGAGTCAGGTGACGCAATGACGGCTGCCCTTGTACGCGATATAAGCGGACAGCATCCTACTCGTCAGGAGCATTCGCGGGGAACTTCGCACGTTGTTTTTTTTCGTTTCAATCGTGGAAACCGTAACGGATCGGTCCGCACGAGGCCGAGTAACCACCACCCAACGGCTGATTAACATGGCGAGATGGCGTTCCCTCAGTCAAGGCCACTCGTTTTCCTCTCCTCAGCTCCCATTGGTCGAAAAGAAGTCGTGGGAATAGTTCCTTCCGAAGCATGGCTCAGTCGGCGGCAGCAGCAGCGCCACCGACGGCGCTTCCGTTGCTACTCATTTTCGATGGATCCAATTTCAATGCGACAACGCTGCAAAGCCAACGCAACGAGTTCCAATTCTCCGTGCCCGTTCCCCTTCTCTCTCCTTCCTTATCACTCCCTCAGTCCGCCTCTCCATCTCCAAACCCCGACCTCGCTCCTCCTAGCATCCGGCAACCAAGCTGCTTCGCCTTCTCTCACAGCTCCTCCACCTCCTCTTCCTCCTCCCCCTCCTCCCCCTCCTCCTCCTGATCTGACGGCCATCGCAACCCTCCGCCGATGTCACACATACCTTCCCCTCTTAGTTGCCGCACCAGCATAAATGCTCTGATCGGTTCTTAGGCCTTCCCATCTTCCAGCTTCCAGCCAAGCCTGGTGCAGCTCTTCTATTTGAATCCAACGTAAAGGAAACCTGACTTCAAAATTTTCCACCCAGTCCCCAAGACATTTGACGCAGTGCCTATTTCGAGTAGAGTCTTTCAACCGCAGATCACGGCTTGCCACTGCTGTCCCAGCTCTGAGAAAACCGGCCAAGTCCAGTCAATTCACTCTCCAATACCATGGGCTGCTTCGGGTTCAGCTCGAGGGACGCCTCTCCCGAACGGGACGGCCCTGATTCTCTTCACCCCACCCGCGTGAGCATATCAACGGGCGCAGCAGCCACATGCAAATCCCCGAAGCCGCTTGGAAGCTTCCTCTCCCGCTCCGAGTCCGCGCCCATGTCCAAGGTGCGCTCGCGCGCTCTTTCCGCCTCAACCAGCCCGCGGTCCGCGCCGTCCACTCCGCCAGCGTATCCCTCGAAAGACGCCGCCGCAGCTGCCGCCGCGTTTGGCGGGAAGCCGCAGCTGCTGCCAAGCCCTAAGGGATCCTCCCCTGCCGCGTCCACTAAGGCGGCTTCTGGCAGCTCTAGCAGCTCTAGCAGCTGTAGCAGCGCTAGCAGTGCGTCGCAGAGCCCTCGCAGCCGGAAAAAAGCGTCGTCAGCGACGTCCCGGCGATCGTCCAGCTGGCTCCGCCCTGCCACGTCAGGAGGGTCGAGCTCCACGTGTAGCCCTGCCAGCTCATCCAGCATCGCATCCTCGCCGTCAGCCTCGACTGAGATCAACGGAGGAGCAGCAGAGTCAACGGATCGCCAGATCGTGAAGAGTAAAAGCGCAGCGGGAGCCGAACCGATCCGTAAAGTCACACCCGTTACAGTCGACCCCGCTTTAAGTCCTCCTAACCTGCTGGAGAAGTCGAAGTCGTTACCAGAACTCGCAAATTCGCCAATCATGTCCGGCATGCACCACCACGCTAGCGTCTTGATGCCCATCTGCGAACCGTCAAGCGAAATTTCGCCGCGCTCCAATTCGCACAACCAGTTTTCGTCAACGCCATGCCAGGTCCGCGAGCCGTTACCTGGTTACCAGCCCACACAGGACGGTCTACCCGAACGGACGATGGCCGGCCCGATTCCCTTCACATTCGCGCAAGTGGAGAAATGACAAGAAATTTCGACATTGAGGGATTTCTCGGCGAGGGTGGGTTCGGATCGGTTTTCAAAGGTTACCTTCCCACACGGAGCGGCCGGCGAATCCCGGTCGCCGTAAAGATGCTTGACACGTGCGGGCATCAGGGGGAGCGGGAGTGGTTGACGGAGGTCAGCTTTCTCGGGCTCCTGGAACACCCGAATCTGGTTTGTCTAATTGGATACTGCGCCGAGGAGGATCAACGGCTGCTAGTGTACGAGTTCCTTCCCCGCGGTTCGCTCGAGTTTTTGCTTTTCGGGGAGGATGCGCTGGCAAATCCGCTGACGTGGCACCAACGGTTGAAGATCGCGTTCGGCGCGGCGGAGGGTTGGCTTATCTGCATGAGGAGGCGGAGCATCAGGTCATTTATCGCGATTTCAAGACGTCGAATATTCTATTAACGAATGATCTTGAAGTGAAGTTATCGGATTTCGGGATGGCGAGGGAAGGGCCCGACGGGGAGAAGACTCACGTGTCGACGCGAGTGGTGGGCACTGTGGGGTATGCGGCGCCCGAGTACGTGCTAACGGGGCACCTTACAACGAAGAGTGACGTCTACGGGTTCGGCGTGGTGCTACTGGAGCTGATGACGGGAAGGCTGGCGCTGGACAAAGAAAGGTACTTCCAAATCCTATTTCCCAGTTCAATAACCCTTTGCAGAGTTCCCCCTTATACTTTTTTGTTTTCCAAATCCTGCTTTTCTAATCGTTGTCGTTGCAAACATTCGTCTAAATGGTCTTCATTCCCTTTTATCTTCCAGACCACGCGAGGAGCAGAGCCTGGTCGAGTGGGCCTCGCCCTTCCTCTCGGCGCCCTCCACACTGTACCGCATAATGGACCCCGCCCTTCGCGGCCGGTACTCCGCTCGGGGCGCGCAAATGGTTGCGGCGATCGTCAAAGAGTGCCTGCAGAAGAAAGCCAAGCGCCGCCCGAAAATGTCCGAGGTGGTTGCAGCGCTGCGCCCGGTGCTTGATCTGCATGACATGGCTGGTTTTTGCGCTGAAGACATGCGGGCGGGCTTAGGCGGGCAAGTTAGTCCTTCTATGGGGGGTATTGGGAGCATTGCTAATAACGCAACCGGGCCACAGCGCTTCCAAAGGAGTGAAAGCGCAGGGACTCTCGAGGAGGGTGCGTTCAAGAGAAGGTCGATTTCCTTCTCTCCGAAAGCGAACGCCGACATAAACGCTGGTGACGCTGTGCGAGTTGTTGTAACCATGGATGGCGACTGTAACCAGGTGCCACAGGCTTGTGGTGCAGCATCTAGAGCCACTATTACTGGTAACCAGAAGCCTCGACTGCCCAGTCCCTGCCAGGCAAGTCCCAAGGGGGTGATTTCCCCAAACGTGGCGGGTAGCCCGTGGCGTGCGGGAAGGCCAAGGAGTCTGCCAGCTGTTTGATGTGGCAGCATCAAGGGGAACCTTTTCCACTGAGTAGGGGAGGGATGGGAAAGGGTGATGTGTAGATAGGAGGGGGTGGGAGGGAGGTTGATGATTTAGTCGCGAGCCCACATCGGGCATGCGGTGTTCTGGTGTTGTAATTGTAGTACCTGATTTTGTTTCAAAGAAATCAATGAATCATGAAACACCAACAGAGAATAGCTGTAAACCTGTTGACAAAATTGGCTGTATGTGGATGTACCGCACTTCAAACAGTGGTACATAAAGCACAGCCCTCGCTGGAAGCACGCCTGAATTTGGGGTCCAGTCGGGTTTCTGCCTTCGTGATTAGCATAAAATGGCGGTGTCCTTTTGAGGACATGAAGTGAAATCCTCGTTAGAGGCTACAAAACCTCCACGACAAATGCAGTACTACAATACTATAGCAACGGAAAGCACGGCAGTGTCTACAGTGTAATGGCCTTGTTCGGCTGCAAAATTGCACGTTTTTCCCCATCTAGGTTCGGTGTTGTGCGGGAGGTCTGGTTCCGAACGTTGGGAAGTTCGGAAACCAAAGGCAGCTTGTCGTCCTGACACCGTGGCAACACGTCAGCAAAATCTAAGGTGTATCTACAGTGTCCGCGCAAAAGACAGAGAAATTAGACCAGGCCACCGGACCTCAACGGCCAACATGAACGACCCAAAAATCCTCCACACATCCAACTCACTCAGGTTTATGGCCCTGGGTCACCCCTCGGTCAGGCCTCCCGCGGACGGAAAATCTGAAAAAAAAGTTGCTCCTGCTAGGTATGTCGAGGACGTTGCACTGGGCTGCTGTTCGTGTGTTCGCGGGGCCTTTTGCTGGCGATGCACATGTTTAAAAATACCCCCAATCTGGGCAGGAGGGCACTTGGG